AGTTGCTGGGCTTTCCCACAGTCTCTAAAAAGTATTTTCCAAGTTTTGATCCCATTTTTCTTTTTGTTTTATCTTTGTTACATTCAAATATGGAGAGATATTTAGTAGATATTTTTGAAGAGTAGCATCTAAACTATCAATAAAAAATAATTGCATACAATTTGCACCTATCATAGGAAAGCAGTGCACCGATAAAAACTCTGAAAAAACAGTTTTTAATTCTTGCGTATAAAGAACGACTCCCATAGTATTTATCGCTCTCACTTGAATTCTTTTTAAAAAGATAGCCTATTTAATTCTCTACAAAATCCTGTAAAAATAATCTCTGAAAAAGGTAACTGGAAAACTGCATCTGATCAGCAATGCTACATTTCAAAAACATTTATTTTCAGAAGCACTTCTTTTACAAAACTATTTATTTCTATTTCCCTGACAGAACAGATTTTAAACTGTTACAGTTTATTTATTTCAAGAATTATTTTTAGTGGATTTTGTAGAGAATTAGACAAGCTATCTTTTTGGAAAAATTTAAATCAAGGCGACAAAAAGTAAGAGAGATATTTTCAAAATACTGAGAGGATCATTCTTTATAGGAAAAAACTAAAAAATGATTTTAAATTTTTTTTCGGTACACTGATTTCCTATGATTAGTGCAAATTGTATGTAGTTTTTTGATTGATAGCTTAGATGTTAGTCTTCAAAAATATCTACTCAATATCTCTCCATATTTGAATGTGCCAAAGATAAACCAAAAAGGAAAATGGAACTAAAACGTAAGAAATACCCTCCATTTTTCCCATCGCTTCGTACTACACTCCAACCTCCAATGATTTCCCACGTGTTGTGATTGATATCAATAATAGGATCACTCGATCCTTTTGTAATAGTGACCCCGTGGGGTGATTCGACAGTTTCTAAAGAGTAATATTCCAAGACATTCTCTGTTCATTACTGAAAACAAATTTTACCTAAAGAAATTGCCGAGAAACAAAAATACAAGATTATCAATATTCGGATGCTTTGTTCTGATAATCCAAGCTAAAATTCAAGATAATATTAATAGAAGTAGAAGGTAATTGATGTCATACCATAACGATGAAATCGTCAGAAGTAATCAGTTGTTTTTATTCAATGCCTCTTGACTTTTATCTGATGTTGTAATTAAAGAAAACAGAAAACTATCAATCTCCAAATATTTTCCATATAGATATTGCTGCACTTTTAAAGGGTAATATAACAAAAAAAAATAGCAGGCTAATCAATAGTTTGTTGTCTGACTTCCGAGAGTACAGAAATGTGAGATGATTATAATTATATCAATAGTTGAATAATTGTTAGTGTTTCTATTGTTCTAACAGTTACTGCTGTCGGAAGTTGATTTTTTCATCTGATACTTGGTAAAGATTTCTTTTTTTTCTTCTTATTTGCATATCCGGGAACGATAATTGTTTTAGATTTCTTTTTGACTGAAACATTAAAACAATAAAAAAAATAAAACTTTCAATTAATTTATCTAATTAGTAATATAATGCACACAGTGTGTGTTCATTTCATGTTGTTTTGATCGTGACTATTTATCTAGAAATGTCTTGGGGATAAATCAGTGCATTTGATAAGTTCATCCATAGCTACAACACCTTGAGATATATCACTATTATTAATATATAGATTAGTAAGCTTTAGCGATTTAATCGTGAATGGCCATGTAAAAATGAAAGTGATTATTAATAGATTGGTTTAGTTTTTTGTCCAGAAAAATGTTTTTATGGTAGATTATATAACATGATTTTTTTAAGAAAAGTTGTGAATGATAACGTGCACGAGGTTCAATTTGAGGGTGAATGGGTCTGGAATGGATGCTTGAATCTGAGTATGTGATGAATATAATACTCACAGCCACAGCCACACCCTCAACCGTAGGATAGAAAAAAAGACAATTGAATACGTCACATCATAGACAATCCTTGAAAATTTATTTGTCTGAAGAGAAAAAAAAACAACAAAGTGAAAGTATTGGTTTAGTTTTTTGTCGATTGCGAAGGACGTTCAAGTAAACCACGATGTATGATGCTGATCGTACTTCCCTCTTGAATCTTATAGTCACTCACTTTCTTCCAATCATCAAGCATTTGACCCATGTGAATTAATCTTTGTTTATCACGATCTATTCCTGTCTTTTTTTCAATTTTTATTCTAACACTTTCAAAACTTTCCGATTGTTCAATTTAAATACTGCAGATATTGCCATCGAGATTCGTCAGAAAGACACGCATCTTATCAAGAAATGAAACTGAAAATCAAGTGTGTTCTTCTTTTTCTTTCTTCTTCTGTTGACTAATGAGTCATTCAAGTTATGTTATAACAACAAATCTTCAATCTTACTTGACGATAAGAATGAGAAAAGAAAAATCTAACATCAAATAAAAGAAAATATCTGTACTGAAATTTGCCAAGGTGTGGATATCATCTCTATCAACACCGTCACCCACCCTCAATTCTGAAATCTAGTTTGTTGAATATTTTCAGATGAATTTATCAAGAATGCATTGAAATGTGGGAAAATATATTTTTTAGATAAATTATTGTTCAGATGAATAATTTATATGAATTTCTTTAATTATTGTTAAATTGAAATAAAATTATTCTCAATAATTATTTATTATTTTATAGGATTGTACAAATTGATAATAATTTGAATAAAGTATCTAAAAGATGAATTTGTATGAATGATGATGATTTAATGTTATTGTTTAAAAATAAAATAAAAGATAATTAAATTGATTAATTAGACAATTCTTATGTAATAACAAAGATAATTCGAATAATATAAAAGAAAAGAAATATAAATTATTATAAAATTATTTAAGATTTATTCAATTGAATTATTACTATATTTGTTCTCTGAAAGTTTAAGAAAAACAAAAACTCAATTATTTCTTTTAGACAGAATGAGAACTAAGAGATAAATAAATATTTACTTTCTTATCTAATAAAGGACACCGCCGGATTTGATCATGAATCTGCCACCCTAATGCAGAAAATTTCATCCATCTAGAAAGAAAGAGCATAAAATTCTGAGTCTGTTAGTGATTATTCCAGCCTTCTGAATTTTGTCCAAGAAATTCACTTTTCCACAGGTTTTCTCTAAAAATTCAAAAAATATCAGCAAAATACATGGATTTTTATTGAATTTTTAGAGAAAACCTGTGGAAAAGTGAATTTCTTGGACAAAATTCGGAAGGCTGGAATAATCACTAACAGACTCAGAATTTTATGCTCTTTCTTTCTAGATGGATGAAATTTTCTGCATTAGGGTGGCAGATTCATGATCAAATCCGGCGGTGTCCTTTATAATTGATAAGTTTATCGAGAAGGGTATTAATTATATCTAAAAGAATATAATGTTTCTTCATTGTTTTTATTAAACTAGGTCTGAGAAACAAAAAATAATTTTCATATGTGAAAAATTCATTAACGAATTATAAAATTTCTATTTGACTAAATAAAATTGAGTTTTAATTATTATTTCAATTAAAAAAACGAATCATTCGATATTATACGACATTAAATAACAAATCATTTTGCAAATATATTTTATTATGTAACATTTCTTGTTTTAATTATGAAAAAGATCATTAGTTTCAATCATCGCACATATTGACTATTATCATTCTTCTGCAACTTTTCTTAGTGAATCTTTTAACAAAAAAGAAGATCAAACTTCTGTTATGTATCTATACTGAAATATATAGAAATACCTTTTCGAATATTCGTTCATATACAATACTTTGGTTTTATGATTAAATCTTATTTTTTTACTTCGATATAGCTTTTCTTTTTCAATTAAATCATTTCCATTTAGTAATATTTTCATTTTCAGTTTCTTCAACAAACAAAACTAAATTATTGAAAATGTTATTTTTAGTTGAAATTGTTTCCAACTTTCTTAATCCTATTTACTTTTCATTTTTCAATATTGTTTCATTTTTATGGAGTACTAAAAACCTATTTGATCAAAAAAATAAAACGTGTTTTTTTTCTTCCTTTCTTAACTTGAAATGTTTTGTCTGATTTCTTTTTCAAATCAAATATATACTTGAAAAAAAACACAACATAAAGTGCTATTCTTTTACAAAAATGTTATAGGTTTACAAATTCCATTCTTTGAAATACTTTCATTTAAGTAAGTTTGTTTTTTTAAATAATACGAAAAATTAGTAAAATACAACATCACACAATAATTATTTTGACAACGGGAGTTATGATAAACTTGAACATAACAAGGCAGTTGAGTGGATGAGAGATTGATATATTATTCATCTGAAAGGTAAAGCTGTAGGTGCTGATCTATCTTTGATCTTTAGCTACACTCAAATCTGCATTAAAATATTCCTTCATGGAAACAATATCACAAAAAATTGTTTGATTCTTTATTTGAAATTAGAAACAAATTAAACTCTAGATTTACTCCAAACAACTTGAATATTCGTCAGTTTTATTAGTAGAATTTCATCACGATTAGTAATTGTTGTCACAACAAAATTCTTTTTCGATTTCTTCTACTACCGAACAATGCTTTTATTATCGTTGAGTCATTAAGTTTATATTTATAAAACTAGATAAGGAAGTTATTCATTTCATCTACACACTTCTATTCAAGGACATGGTAGTGGCAAACAACAAAACACAATGTTTTACATGTAATAAAGAAAAAATAACATATTCCTGTGAAGGATGTTCAAAAAGATTTTGTTTCGTGGATTTAGCAGAACACAAACAAATACTAAATGAAGAATTAAATCATATTATTAATGATTTTGATGAATTTAAGCAAAGAATTAATGAACAAAGACAAAATGATTCATTAATAAAACAAATTAATCAATGGGAAACAAATTCCATTGAAATAATTCAACAAAAAGCACAAGAATGGAGAAAAATTGTTATTGGATCTTCACAAACATGTATTGATGAGATTGAAATGAAATTCAATGGTTTATCTGAACAAATAAAACAAATTCATCAGGAAAATGAATTTAATGAAATAAATTTAAATTATTTAAAAACTGAATTGAGAGAAATTACAGAAGAGTTAAATAATTCATCAAATGTTTCTATTCAACAAGATTTACAATCATTTATTTATCAAATTTCAATAATTTCATCAAAAAGTAAGTTTTTAAAAAATAATTCTCACTCTCTATGAAATTATAATTAATCTTTTCGTTTTTTCTTCGATCAAAAACAAATTTTCTTCTTTTTATTAAAATGTTTTGTTTTCATCATTTTCCAGAACCAAAATTCAACAAATGGAAACAAAATGCCATCACTGTAGCTGGTAGAAATGGAAAAGGACAAGAATTAAATCAAATCAATTACCCTGACGGAATCTTTATTGATGGGAAGAAAAATATTTTCATTGCTGATTGTGACAATCATCGTATCGTTGAATGGAAATATAATGCAAAGGAAGGACAAATCATTGCAGGTGGAAATGGGCAAGGAAATCGAATAAATCAATTGAACTGGCCAACAGATATGATTATTGATCAACAAAATCATTCGATCATCATTGCTGATTTTGGGAACAATCGGGTGATTCAATGGTTGGGCCAAAATCAACAAATTCTCATTGACAATATTGACTGTTCTGGTTTGGCAATGGATAGAAATGGATTTCTTTATGTTTCTGATACTGAGAAAAATGAAGTGAGACGATGGAAAATGGGAGAATACAATGAAGGAATTGTAGTGGCAGGTGGAAATGGGAAAGGAGATCAACTCAATCAACTCGATTATCCTACTTTTATCTTTGTTGATGAAGATCAATCTATTTATGTGTCAGATTGCAACAATCATCGTGTGATGAAATGGAGAAAAGATGCAAAAGAAGGAATAATTGTGGCTGGAGGAAATGGTGAAGGAGCAAATCTCAACCAGTTGTCTGAACCTCAAGGAGTAATTGTTGATGATTTGGGTCATATCTATGTGGCAGATTCTTGGAATGCTCGAGTGATGCGTTGGTGTGAAGAAAAAGAAGAAGGTGAAATTGTTGTTGGTAGAAATGAAAAAGGAAATCAATTAGATCAATTGAACAATCTCTGTGGATTATCTTTTGATTACAAGGGGAATCTATATGTTGCTGATTGGTCAAATCATCGAATTGAAAAATTTGAAGTAAATTTGTGAATGAAATTTTAATTTTGAAAAAAGAAAAGAAATTTTCTATTGAATAAAAAACGAAGAAATAAAAATTAATAAAAAAATTAAATGAAATTTAAAGAAAAAGAAGGGTGCGAGCGTGTGTGTTGTTATTGTCTCACACCCTAGTCACAGTCACCCACACCCGACTTCAGCCTTATTGCTACGTCTACAGTGATGGACTGTTGCTAAGGTGTCTGTCACGGCCTAGAGGAAGGGTGTGGGTGTGGGTGTGGGCGTGAGTGTGAATATAAGATGAGTATTACACACACATACACTCTTTGTAGAGAATTCAAAACACCATCGTTTGATAAAAAAAGAATGTCTAAATTGATTGCATAGTAGAAGAAAAATATTCAAAATACTCAGAGGTCCATTACTCTTGCGGCACCCGTTACTTTTAGATAAGATTTATTTCGAAAACCATCTGTCGATCGAAAAACAAAATGTTTTTTGACTTTATTAACTGATTGAGGATCTATAGGCGGCAGTACGAGCAGAACAAATATGTCAATCTTTATTATTAATAATTTAAATCAACCGATCATTGCTAAAAAACACAAGAGAATTTGTCGGTGAACGTGCTTAGTGGAGCTCGTATTTTTTTTTGAATTTGTTCTTCTGTTATTAAAACATGTTACAATATCAATAAATAAATAAGATAACAGACGTGTCATATGAATCTCTGATTTAAAGTTGATAAATATATATATATTTCTATTGATGCTCATTTGCAATTGAATATATCAAACGAGAAATCTGTCATTACATACAGTCGTTATAGATCGCAAATTAAAACCAAAGAAAACGAAATTTTTATCGATTCAATCAAAAACATCGGTGAAAGAGTATTGGTTAAAAAATATACGAAGAGGAGATAATCCGTTATTTAGCAGATTATCAGAAAAATATGAGTCATTATACACAATTGCTAATGGTCCACATACGGATCTATCTTCGAATGCCATTCTTGAATCATTTCTTTGGGCTTACTATCGACATCATGATATAGTTCTTTCACCTGATGATATGTGGTTATTAGTATGTATGTTTTTTGCTCAGCATGTTGATGATAATGCCGAACAACTTCGATCAAATTTTGTTGAACATAATGAAGGAAAAATAACGTTAACTACATGTGATTTCAATGACAAATATGACTGGGATGACTTTTATGATCAAATGAAAAAAGAAGTTGTAAAAAATACAAAGAATAATATCTGTCAATTACTAACAGTTGATTTTTCTACAACTGGAAAAGTCGAATCAATTCTGTCCGCTGCATGTATTATGAATACATTTAAATTTTACTTTAAATATCAACGTGAAATACGCATCTGTGGAATTCGACAAGTACATTTCATGGGTAAAATACATAATCTATATTCGTGCACCATAGTCTTATTTTACTTCTGAATTTATTTTTATTATTTGATATTTAAGGTACAATAAATGATTGGCAATCGCTTCGTATTAAAACTGAACAATTAAAACTATTTAGTAATGATCAGTTTCATGGATATTCGAACGGTGTATTGTCAATTTTCGATCAGTTTATCGAAACCTACAAAGGTAATGTCAATCATAATTTTTGGATTAAAGTATGCGATGTTAAACGAAAAACAATAGCAGACATTAATCCGTGCGCTCCCTTTCAGCTCTCCTTATTTCCAAAACGTATACCCATAGAAAAGCTTACTAGGTGGGTAGTGCAATTGTTTGGTTTAGAAGAATTCATAGTTGAATCTGATGAAGATGATTCGATTCTACCATATATATATACACCAGTAGAATTTCTAGATGGAGGAAACGGTACAAGTGATCAATGTCACATTGTTGGAGGATTTCATGGAATCTATTCGACAGAAAATCGCTACAAACCTGTAATGAGTGTGTCAGTTATCCAGATGCTCAAGTCAAAAACACAAAATCAAATCTTTAGCGAAGAAGACTGCACAACATATTTATAGATTTCAATTATTCATTAAAACAAAAGAAAACTGATAAAGATCTTCTTTGAACATTTTAACATTATTCTTGCTATACGTTTTTCGAATAAATGTTGTTTTTGTTTTTAAAGATAAACACGATTTTTTTGGCTTTATAAATGAATTATACGAAAATCATTGACTATTAATTTAACATAATTGTTCGAAATTGTTTTCATTGTATATTATTTTATAATGAAATATTGAAAACTCTATCAGTCAATGGATAGAAAAATGACGGTTTTTTTATTCACAAAAAACTAATTAAAGAACATGTCAAATTTCACCCTTGTTTTATTAACCGACAATTCAGCAGATTTTAGTTTAATAAAAAAATTTATTGTTCTTTAAATTTGTAGGTTATTTTGTTCAGTTTGTTAATAAACTTTCTAATATTAGCTTGGTTTTCTTTCATTCGAATTGGCGTAGTCATTCATCGGATGCTTATTATTTTCATCTGCTCGAATAACATAACTGTCTTGTAGACGTTTCAGTTGAATTTTACGAACATACATTCCATCATCATCTTTTATTGAACGTTTATATTTGTGTGTGGAGATTTTTTGCACCGTGTTTTCATTGATATTTAAATGTTCAAAAAATATATCATTATTAATTCTGGTCGATTCGAATAACGGTTGACCACGTCGACTTGAACGACCTAACAAGCAAACAAAATATTTAGTGAATCATACAACTTCTTCAAAAATGAGCCATCTTTCTGCTCCCACTAAGTTGTCTTTTATCGGATATGTATCAGATTTTTTCAAGGACGACATATCTAAGATCACAAAAAAGAAATTTATATTTCTTTGTTTAATAAATCTCAGTTTCCTTCAAACTTTCAATATTTAAATGACTGTAAAGCTATTCTTATGTATACTATACTTTGTAATCAGCGTTTTAACGAAATAAGAAGTTAAAGGAAAACATGGAAACTATTAAAGAAGCACAATTGATATCGAAAATAGAAAGATTTTATTAAATGATGATTCATACAGAATCATAGTCAAGAGATTGATCATATTACTCTTTGAGAAAATAACAAAAATTTAGAATAGATGACTGAACTGTATGTATAATTGTCATTGTTTCTCAACGAAGTCTAAGCTCTCTATTCATCGGAATATACGGTTGAACCGACAAGATAAAAATATATTTGTTAATTACACGATCAAAAAATAAAATACCTGGCAATATAAATTGTTCTCTATTACTGGTGTTAACGTTTCACGATTTCCTTGTTCAACAAGTACTAAGAAACACTTCTTTGATGTTGTATCTATAGCGTCAAAACCTATTGTTGATATTGCATAATACATCCACGATTATACTTTCGCTTGCCAAAGCAACTCTTGTCTACCTCTATAATATGGCTTCGTCCTAAACAATTACTTAATTAGTGTGAATATTAAATATCACAACTTACTACCAACTTGTTGAGAATTGTTAATATAATAAGTTGCACACATATCTCGACAAAATCTACACCAATCAATAATAGTGTACTCAAAACCGATCTCTAATTCGTATTGTAATTTCATTAGTGAATCGTCCTGTTTAGCCCCAATAATACATCAAATCAAACAATGTTTGTAAGGATAAATGAGAACCCGAGAAAAAAGTACCATGTCGAATTAATTTTGTTGACTTACATTTACGGCAGCGAAAAGCATATCCTATAATTTTATTATTCAATAAATGAAATAAAATCATTTAGAATAAAGATACGGTAATAATTAAATTGTACCTTCTTGTGTCTCTATCAGCTTATGTAGCTTTCTCATATTCTTGAGAGGTGGACACAAGCTCTATATATAGTTCCTTTTTTGCAACAGATTTTTTTTAATTTTACTATTCAAGAATATGTTCCTCTTTTATTTTAATTGAGATTAATTGGGTTAGAAGTATTGCGATTCTGTTTAAGTTTCTTATTTCTCTTGATTATTAGAACAACTAGACTTATCAAAATTGTTTCATTCGTTCTCTTATGTTATCTACTTCTCTCATGTTATTTTCATCCGGAATTAGTTAATCCAAATACGTCAATTGAATGTTTTCTCTATTCTGTTCATATATTACAATGGTCAGTGTTATTAAAATCCAGATGTACCATATTGTACCCTGTGGCTTGCTTATCAAACTAACTGTCTCCTTCTACCCGTCTTTACTAGTAGATAGCGTTAATTGTATTTCAGACTGATGTTTCACTTTGACAGTTATTAATTAAAAATGAAAAATGAATGTTTCTTTTTATTCACAAAAAAGTATTTAAACTACAAGTCAAATTTTGAGTCTTTTCTAATAAACGACAATTAATCAAATTTTCGTATGATATAAAAATCATTGTTTTTCAAACTGCTTAACGTCCTTGTTAATTTCGTTTTCATTTTGAAGAAATTTGTAGATGATTTGTTCAGTTTCTTGATATCTTTTGTCAATCCTTTTCGACTGGCCTTTTGGAATTTTCATCGGCTTTCTATATAAAATACTTTATTTGCGTCATGATATTGAATTACATGTTCATCCTGAAATAAACAATAAAATCCCAGGTCGAACAATACGGCACGGAAATGGACGGTTCCAACCGAAAATGGTGAGTTTCCTCAGGGTTTTCGCCAGAAGTTCATGGAATACTACTTCAAAAATAATCGACCCGGTTCATTTTCTTTTCGAGGAAATTTGCAGATGTTCTGGTTGAATTTTTCTTGTTTCTGAATAAATTTATAGGTTATTTTGTTCAGTTTGATTTTCTTTCATTTGAACTGGCGTAGTCATTCATTGGAAGCGTATTATTTTCGTTTGTTCAAGTAATATAATTGTCTGGTAGACCTTTCAGTTTAATTTTACGAACATACATTCCATCATTTTCTCTTGAAGATTTATATTCATAATAAACATTAAAAAGAGCGAGTGTGTGTGGGGTGAATATCAGGTTTTCTTTATATTGGCACAGACCCACCCACAAGATGCATATTGTTTTAAGATGTAAAATATGTCTTTGTTACGATATTGTGACACTGGTGAGTCAGATATAAAAATTTCATTTGTCATGTTTATGTTCACATCACTTTTAAATAAGTCCAATAAATGTTGTACTGTAGCTTCAAACATATGATTAGTGTGATCAGATACTAAAGCAAAACTAAAGCGATCATCTTTTTTCCATACATAACCACTTAAGATTGAGATATGTTGTTCGTAATAGTATGATGCTAAAAGTAATGAATCACGTAATACAATCAATAGAATACGATTCCATTCTGATACTAAGAGCACTTAAGCTTTAACATTGGGATCGAGTAATCAATCACTCACCTTTTTCTTGTCGTGCTTGTTTCAGTTTGAAGTTTTCAGACCAATCCAATTGTATTGTAATTGTATCTTTCTGTTTCGTAACCATCTGTCTTGCTTGTTTTTCAGCTCGAAATTGTTGACGCACACGATCAATATGTGATACTAAGAATGTGGGTGCGGATATTTTATTAATCATACACCCTCACCCCTATATAAACTCTCTTTCATACCCTCACTCACACCCAGTTCATCCAAATTTAGATTATAGAAATATATGAAATAGTAGGATTTTGTAGAATTTATCGACTCGTGATCTTCAAAAAAAATGAATGAGATTAAGAGTGTAGTTTATATTGCCGATGCTAATTTCAAGGAAAAACAACACAAGTTAAGATCTAGCTCTCATAAATTAACTAAAGTAAGTGATTAGTTTTTTATATCGTTTGCGCAATACTTATTAATCTTCAATTCAGTGCAGAAAATTCATATAGGCATAATATTTCGTAGGAGTTCCAATATCACAAGATAATCTTTTCTTTAAATATTTGATTAAGTAATCAATATCTGACTTAATAAAAATTTATAGTCATAGACAATAACAACTCACGT